CGAAACCACGAGGGACGGGTCGTGTGTGCGGTACAAACACGTGCGCGCCACACCGCCGGCCTGACTTCAATTTTACCTTCCGGCCGGTTGGGACGGAAGCCGCGTTTCCGAGAAATCCCGCCGGCATATTTTCAACCGGAGGGAGTGCGAGCACGAAACGAGGAGCCAGTATGTTGCAGATCTTATATAAGGAGCAAAAAGCAAAAGCAACAAACGAACCCAATTGTGGCGCCAAGTCAACATCTTCTGTATATGTTTCGTCTGGTCCAATTGGAAACAAATCTTGACATCACTTATAACACCATCAACTAAGACTTGTATGACGAATAAACATTTTTTTTAATGGCCTGTTATATGTCAGCCCGCAGCCACTGTCTTGTCAACAAAGCCACATATTTCTCTTCGGAGTTGGTCCACAAATCAGTGATGAATCAGTTTTTGACATATTCTTCACGCACCAAAAAGTTATACAAAAGGGGTGAGGTTCTAACAAAAGCACAACTGTCGAGTGATCCATGGTAGCTGTTTTGAAATAGTACGGTGGGACCTCGATGGTTGAACGCCTACTGTTGCGCGTTTTTTTTTTTTGTTGTTCAGGAAACTCGGAGCTGTGAGGAGCAGCCCATACCGTATTTTTACCTTTCGTATCTCGAAATTTCTTTCATAACAAGAGGCAATATATTCCTGTTGAGGTGTTTCGTAACTTGAAAATTTCGTATGAACGTAGGTCGAGGTACCACTGTATTTTATATTGTCATCGGTGCCCTCTAGAGTAGAATTTTCATTGCCATGTCATCCTTTTTGTTTCTCTTTAGAATCATATTATAAACAAGAAGCTGGACTTCAGGTATATGCAATCAAAATGCAGCTCCAAGGATAATCTCAAGCAACCTCCCAGTGGAGGCAATGTATGTAGCCCTCAATGTTGACCCCCTTCACCCCCTTCTTGTCTTCCTTCCCCGGAGCCAATGAGTCTCCCTGTTGATCCCCGCTGTATCTTTTCCACTGTGCAAAATTCCCGATTAGCCTTAAAGGTGACGTGTGCGACCCTAACGTTTTATCACGCTTATGCCGAATAAACTTTGGCCACTTTTAACCCTTTCATGCTGCACCCTGTAATCCTGATAACATGATAAGCCGTCCACTGTGGTAGCCGCCGTCCCTGAGAGGGTTAACGCAACATCACAGACTAGATTTTCCTCAGACTGCACTGCGATTATGTTTGCAACAGCTGGTTTGAATGTAGCCGACTTTATTGCACATGGGGGAAGTGTGTTTAAGGACGCCATATTGGAAGACCACCTCCTACATTGAGAAGTCTGTGAACGACCTGGCAGTGGAGTAAGAGGACACAGAATACTGTGACCAGTCTTTGGTTGGTTTTGGTGTGTAACACCAAGTATGATATTTATTTATTTATTTTTTCAGTGGTCTATATTGGGGTTATTCAATTCTATTTCATCATGCCGAAGTACTCAATTGCGTCATGCATTTAAACTTTCAACATTCTTTTAATATTGCTCTCCCGCTCTCTTCCACCCTAATTTGTACCGTGTTACTTTCTCTCACTGTGGCTGCATTGCTTTGCCCGTGCTGGCTGAAATGTATTTGTTGTTATACATCGCACCAACTCTTTTGTCTGCATTTCACTCGTGCTTTTTCTCTTTTGCAGCTACAAGGGTCTTTAAACACTGCAGCGTACTAACATTTTAGCATCCTTGCAATTTATAAACGAATCGTCTAAGGCTTTGGCAGTTTTGTACGGAGTGTGGGTGCTTGCATCATTTTATATGTGCAAGACAAGATTAGAGTCGGTTCACTTGCTATTAAACCAAGGATGTCCAAACTTTTTTTTACGGTCAAGGGCTGCGTACAGAAAAATGGATGGATGCAAGGTCCACTTTGAAATAGTTTACATTTGATTTATTGAACAGGCTAAAACGAATGCATCATGTGTATATTTAATATTGTAAGCCACCGTAACATTCTGCACAGTTTGAACATCGGCTGTAACTGCTCTTAAATATCGGAGGAAAAGAAAAATGTATTTCACACGACAGGTCAATCCAAAAATGTACGTGAATAAATGTTTAAAGAAATTCCTCATGGTTACATGCAGATGTTTTGAACTAAAAGTTCATACTCTACTGGCTCGAATTTGGGTGTAAAAAAAAAAAAAAAAAAAAAAAGAAGGAATTACATTTAAAAATCCTCATTACAGTTCAAAATGATAAGCTGTCGAGTCGGGCGTTAAAGCACTTATACCAGAGTTCCAAGCGTAGGCTTCTGCATAATTTAAAAGTGTTGCCAGGGTCATCATCCCCCCCGCCCTTGACCCGCAGTAGTAACTCCTAGTAGTGGCCCCACCCTCCCCCGAAAGGCCTCACCGGGCCACTGACCCGCCACTTGTCATTGTCACCATAGAAGCACAAGGAGCAAATAATGGCAACTGAGGCCAAACACAAGGCCCCGTCTTGGATCTGGAACTCAGTGCTCCGCGTCATCTCCTTGACGCTGTGTCTGTCGACGGCTCACAGTATGACCTGGACCCAAGGCCTGCTGGTACACCGCAGCACCATACATTATAAATTGATAGCATGCGAGTGCTAGCGGAACGATTACAGTTGTTTCCTATCAACGAATATGACAACGAAGTGACAACATTTGCATTTTAATAAGGCCGCTTTAATGAGAGCCAAAACAAGAGTCGAATACAAAGTCCTCTGTGTTAACGTGATTGGACGCTGCAGTGGTGTGGAACTGCACTGCATCACACTGGAAGATGTTTCGGTTATATTATTAAAACAAAAAATGTTATGTGATGGGGACTACAAAAAAAAAAAAAGTTCCAAGCCACTGCAAGTTCCAACCACAATAATAAAGTTTTTTGAATTAAGTCACTTTGTATTATTTTCTTTGCTCATACTGTCTGGAATCTTCATTTCAACCCTTGTTTTGGATCTCATTAGATTGTGTCAGTAACAACTAATGACTTTTTCAATGACTAGATGTCGTGATTATATTTGCTAGAACCTGATCCTATCCATAAAATCAGGTCACTGCCTAAACATAAAATGTGCAAGGATAGACCAAAGTAATTAAAGGAAGCTCTTGGAGACAACAACAAGGCAGCTTTTAATTAGCGGTGAAATGTTCTTGGCAGTCGCAAAATGTTGAGTTAAAAATAGGCTGCGTACAGAAAAATGGATGGATGCAAGGTCCACTTTGAAATAGTTTACATTTGATTTATTGAACAGGCTAAAACGAATGCATCATGTGTATATTTAATATTGTAAGCCACCGTAACATTCTGCACAGTTTGAACATCGGCTGTAACTGCTCTTAAATATCGGAGGAAAAGAAAAATGTATTTCACACGACAGGTCAATCCAAAAATGTACGTGAATAAATGTTTAAAGAAATTCCTCATGGTTACATGCAGATGTTTTGAACTAAAAGTTCAATATAACTCTACTAAGGGAATGACTTTTTTTTTTTTGTACACCACATGCATAAGTCAATAAGGCTTTTGAAGAATGTCGATGTCAGAAAGCCCGCTGAAGCCCATTCCCAGCTCATTCCTCACCTCCATCCTGCAGGTCCTCATCCCCAGTGTTAAGATGGACTATAGCCATGTTCAGTCTAGGTGTGGGTCCTTGGACAGGAGGGGCTACTCGGCAGGAGGTGGCAATGTGAGTCTTGTGCAGCAAAAAGTCATCGTCTCAGTGTTTGTGTCTCTTTTGTGTGCTTGTGCTGTCTTTTGGCTGTGTCCCTTCCCCTTGGAGATGGTTGTGTCTGCAAAAAACTTAAGCTGCTCGAAGGCTGATCATGAGCATTGCTGAATTATAAACCGTCATGGTTTTTTTTTTCCCCAAGCTTTCCCTTAGTTGCCGATGGCAGCAGTAGGTTGCCACGGTAACAGCTGCCAACGCTTTGAGTACTCTTAAATTAACTTAAATATCGAGTGGGTTAAGAAGTCTTGGGACATGTGACACATCAGATCTAACTCCACACAACAAAGGAGTATTGTTGGTTTTCCTCCTTGTTTTGCATACTAACAAGTACTATTCAAAAGGAAAAAAAACCCCACAAGATCAAGCACGTGTTTATCTTTTTGCATCTTTTTTAAAACCTCTATGTGATAAACATCAGTTAGCCCTCTGACCTGACAGCCTGCTCTCATTTCTTTATTTTACAGATTCAGATACAGAACAAGAAGATTGACCTGAGTCACGTGACCTCAAAGTGCGGCTCGTTAGACAACATTCACCATCGTCCTGGTAACACACTTTTCTCGACAAACCACACACAAACTCCAAGAAGCGATTTGACTTCTTTATAATTAATGATTGTGACAAGGGGAACGTGGCGAAGTTCTCATAGCTGAAAATGGGTCCGCTACTATATATATATCGCTCCTCACTTTTACTGATTCGAAAAAGCAAACCATTTTTTCCCCGTTTTCCACCTCGACCGCTTCTGGTCCTGCAGCGCCATCTGCTGGTGATATCTTTCACAGCGCTATTGTTCGATATATTGCTACTAAGCTGGACCAGAATTTGCATTTGTTCCCAAAGGGAAATTTCACCGTGGTGTAGAACAGCATGTTCGAGTATCACTATTTGTTAAACAAACAAACAAAGGCGCTCACTTGTAGAATATGTGCTTGGTGTTGTTCAGGTGGTGGTAACGTTCGTATTGAGAGCGTGAAGTTGGACTTTAAAGACAAAGCCCACGCAAAGGTGGGGTCCTTGGATAATGCTCACCACACTCCAGGAGGAGGTCGTGTTACAGTAAGCGTTATTGATATTTATTTTGTTTATGTACAGCTCTTTTATTGTACTTCATTAGCTTGTGTAGGTGTACCAAAGAAGCCAGTGAAAAATTATTCAACATTTATACAGCAATCTTCTGGCATTTGTTTTTTCATTTGATTACATTGAAGAATTGCTTCAGCAGAATCCCATTTTTAATGTTTGAAGAAAATAAACAATGTCTCATACCTCACCACTTGCTAGATTGAGAGCCACAGGTTGACATTCCGCGACCACGCCAAGGCCCGAGTGGACCACGGGGCCGAGATCATCGTCCGGTCGCCGGGCCGGTCCCGTTCCATGTCGCCTCACCGCCACCGGGACAGCCACCTTTCATCGTCCGGCAGTCTCAACATGTTGGAGTCGCCGCAGTTAGCGACCTTAGCTGAGGACCTCACTGCCGCTCTGGCGAAGCAGGGTTTGTGAACATGCATCGTGGATGCTCTTACATTGAACCTGTCAGCTATTCACCACCCACCCGCCGCCTTGAGGGCCACTCAGGGTGATCGCGACTTTGCTTCACATCTCAAAGACCCACCAGGAGGGACTCCTAACTTTCCTCTTTCTATCTGTCTGTTTTCATCCCTGACATGTTCTATTTGGTCCTACTTTCCCCGGCCTCTCCTTTTGAATGATGTTGCATAGAATAGTTCACCTGTAGTGCTAAACGGGATTACCTGTACATACAAATAGCGGGTGGTGGGGGAGCCTCATATTGACCTGACTGATCTTGGGTCTACAGTACATTTTAAAGGAGCTATAGCTTTTATTTACTTGTGGCCATATTCTGTACGTTATGTGGCCAGCACATCATGCTGCACGTGTTGTTCTTGCTAACGTGCATGGACAGCAGACCCCTTGATAAGCCAATTATCCATACTGCTAGTCATTCGTTTCCTCCTAATATTTAACCAAACAAATATCAATACATAGAGAGAGACAGAGAGAGAAAGAGAGGGAAATGAAAATAAAAATACAGGTTCTTAACCAGCTACATGTCCTTTCAAGGGGTAGTCAACCCAAACATGTTTTTTATATGTTCTATGTGTCTCCACGCGTCTAAACACGGCATTCTGATTAATATCGTGCTTGTTGAGAATGAGTTAAGCAGCAAAATCCACCTGATTTTAGCCATTTAAGGTGAGGAGGGGGTTCGGGGGGGGGGTGTTGACACCGTCTGTCAACTGAAAGCGATACGAGTTAATCAGTAAAATCCACCTGATTTTGGGGTGGCCATTTTGTCACTTGCTGTCGACTGAAAATGACATCACAGTTGCCCAGGACTAAGGTAACGACCAATCACGGCTCACCTGTTTTCTGAAGCTGACCGATGATTGGTTGTTCCCGAGCCCCTCAGCAACTGTGATGTCATTTTCAGTCGACAGCAAGTGACAAAATGGCCACCCCAAATCAGGTGGATTTTACTGCTTAACTCGTATTCCACAAACATTAATCAGAATGCCGCGTTTAGACTGGTGGGGCTGCATAGAACATATTTTTGTACAGAAAATCCAGGGGATTGACTTCCCATTTCAAAACATTTTCAAGGAAGCAACAACGTACGACCATAAATAAAATATACCTGCATTATTGCAAAAGCAGAGTCACGTGCGATGAGCATGAATTGATTCACAAACTAAAAGAGGCTATTTTGTCATTTGAAAAGGGATTTTAGTCAGTCATTTCCTCATTCATTGGCTAAGAAATAAATAAGTTCACGTTTTGTAGTTCGTAGTTATTTACAGTGTATTTATTGGTGTCGGGCAGCGCCGCCGTTGCGTTGCTGAGCAACGCAAAGGACTGACTCGAATGCAGATGTTGGAGCGTCTCATATTTAAAGGAGTGCAGCTGGCGCTCCCAATGCGACATGCCATTTCTGGATTCCTTTTTGTGTGTGCATTTGGTGCAGATCTCGAGATGTTTTACAACCAACGTATCGGGCTGTTTTGTTGCCGTATGTGGAAAACTTTTGAAAAAGTCCAAAGGATGAACTGTGTTGACAAAACAAACATTCGATTCATCCATTGAGAAAAAGACGTCGGTGTGATCTTGTTTTGTTTTTTTCCGGAGGACGTGTATTTGATCCCGACTGACCTGTTTATTTGCTTCTGTGTTTTCCGGCATTGCCCATCTCTGTAAGCCCCCCGTCTCGCCCCACCCTGCAGCAACTGTAATGTATTTAAACGGTCAAGTTGATGTATGCAGTATATATTTTTTTTCCTGCTGTCGCTGATATGACTCCAATTACGGTAGCTTCTGTGTTTTCCGGCATTGCCCATCTCTGTAAGCCCCCCGTCTCGCCCCACCCTGCAGCAACTGTAATGTATTTAAACGGTCAAGTTGATGTATGCAGTATATATTTTTTTTCCTGCTGTCGCTGATATGACTCCAATTACGGTAATTCATTAAAATAAATGAGATAAGTTAAAAAAAAAGGTGAGAATGCATTCCTTCTTTTGAGATACACAGAAAGTGTGGGAGATCAGGAAATAAAATGGGAACTTGTGAAAAGTTTATTTGCGAAATGGCAGATGAGAGTACAATAAGTTAAGACTCAGGGTCGGGTTAGATGAGGAGGGGATCGACCTCGGTAGCCAGTCCTGTGCCAAAGCAGTCGCTCAGACTGCCGGCCAATGAGTGACAAGAGGGAGGGTCCTCTTTCTCCCATCACCCCCTCCTGCACTGAGAAAACTGGCGTACCCCCAATCAGGCGAAGGTATTTTGGGGAGATGGAAATTTAGGAACACGTCCGGAACCGAAGAAGCCTAAGGAGCACCAGTTGGAGACGAGGAAAAAACAAAACAAAACAAAAAAAAAACAAATACGTGTGGAACAAAACAATGGAAGGATTTAGAAATGACATCTCATAGTCCTTTTGTTTGCCCTGCTTCCTCAGGTGGCGCAGGAAACAGCGAGTGAATGTCTCGACACCATGGGGTCTGCACATACTCGATGCTCACCACCACCAAAGAAAAAAAATGTGAGCATCAAATATGTGTAATAGTTTAAAACGACATATCTAATGTATTACACACCAATTATGTACTACAAACAATAACACTGGTGAATAGGTGTTTTTAATTTTTTTAATGAGATATGCAGGTGAACCTTTTCAGATAAATTGTTTTGATTTTGATTGATTCATAATCTGCCCTGATTTTTTTCTCTAGCACATCAGATCTTGTAATAATAATAATAATAAAGTAAATAACTAATATTTAGAAATTAAGGGTTAGAGTCAGCAACAGGTGGAAACGTTTTTCCTGAAATGTCAATTATGAATTACAACGTATGATAAAATACATCTTGCTCAAGCTCTCTTAAAAACATGAAACATCTCAACAACCTGAGGTGATTGAGAAAAGTAAAAACTTTTTTTTTTTTTTAAATCAGCATCAAAAATAGGCTCAGGGACACATACAGTCATCTCTGATTAACATTTGCGGTTGACCAGTGTAATTCAAGAGCTACGAATATGACAAAATAACAACAATGATTAAACGATATTTCTCATTATTTTTGAGATACTAACATTACTTTAGTCATTTAATATCTACAAAAAAAATGTCTCATGAAAGTTGCTCAAAATGTAGAAATTCTGTTCATCTAAGATACAGATGTCAAACTCAAGGCCCGGGGGCTAGATCTGGCCCGCCACATCATTTTCAGTGGCCCCTGAAAGGAAATCAAAGATTTCAACTTTCACGATGGTTGCTAAAATCACAATTTCTCATTTGTAATAAATAACAGTGATGCCGTGAGCATTTTCTTGTTCCCAAACCCCTCATCACAGTTACTTAAACACGAGGCGAATAAACCGTTATTCTCGACTTCTTTATATGGTTTCAGTCATAACGGCCCTCCAAGGCGAAACTGTCACTAAAATCAGGCCTGCGACAAAAATGAGTTTGACACCCCCTGATCTAAGCTATTGTTGCGACAATACAAGCCACAAGGCAGGAAGCAAATGTGCTGACATCACGATCACTCGTCTCACCCTCGTAGTTGATGCAGCCGTTCTCATCTTCCTGACCCGCCATGAGAGCGTCAATCTCAGCCTCATTCAACTTTTCTCCTGCGAGGGAGGCAAAAGGCAACCCAAGTCAGGAAGGCCCAACTGTCTGTCGCCCGTTTTGTTTTGCGGCCACCAGGGCGGCGTCTCACTTACCCAGTGTTGACAGGACGATACGCAGCTCGGTGCCCATCACTGTGCCGTTACCCTCCTTGTCGAACACGCGCAGACCCTCAACGTAGTCTTCATAGCCGGCCTTGTTCGGGCTGTTGATGATTGTCTGAAGCATGGGCAGGAAACCCTCAAACGTAACTCTCTTGTTGGCCATTTCTGAGTACAAGGAGGCGATGAACGGTCATTGTGTGCGGCTGCGTTACATCTTTGCAACTTAATTCACAGCACATAGGGCTGAACAATTCATTAAATTCAAATCGACATTGAAAAAAGCAATTTTCCAATTGCAGAAGCTGCAATATAAAAGACGCAACACACAAAACTGCTTCGTTTTGGTTGATCTGTAGGCTTAAATTTATTGGTGTAGGGTTTGATCCCGGCTCCGGCCTTCGTGTGTGGAGTTTGCATGTTCTCCCCATGCCTATGTGGATTTTCTCCGGGTATTCCGGTTTCCTCCCACATTCCAAAAACATGCATGGCAGGTTAACCCTTTCAGGGACAGCGGTTACTACAGTGGACAGCTTACCATGTTAGTGTTAGTGGAACAGTCTAAATTGTCCTTAGGTGTGAGTGTGAACGCGGATGGTTGTTTGTCTATGTGTGGCCTGCGATTAGCTGCCAACCAGTTTAGGGTGTCCCCCGCCTATTGCCTGAAGACAGCTGTGGATTGGCGCCAGTACGCCCGCGACCCACGGGGAGATAAGCAGCTTGGATAATGGATGGATGTATATTTTATTTATGTACAGTATATCGCGTATGAATAAATTTGGTGCTTACACACTGAATCATTGTTTCACGAATCATGAAAAGTTATAGTGATAAAGTCAAAAATGATTTTGGTGAGTGCATAAAAGACTGCAAGTCAAAGTGTTAAGTTAAAAACTCTAAATTGAAGTTGATTCTAGTCTAAGCCCAACCTTTCAACATTTCAACATTTATGTATAATAAATCTGATATTGTTCGTTGTCAGACAAATTAATTTAGTGCCGATATTTGTTAAAAAAAATAAAATACTCGGGAAGGGATCCTTCAATAAATGAACGAATCTTAAATCACAATATTGAGGGAAAGAAATCGCAATAAATGAGATAAGTTAAAAAAAAAGGTGAGAATGCATTCCTTCTTTTGAGATACACAGAAAGTGTGGGAGATCAGGAAATAAAATGGGAACTTGTGAAAAGTTTATTTGCGAAATGGCAGATGAGAGTACAATAAGTTAAGACTCAGGGTCGGGTTAGATGAGGAGGGGATCGACCTCGGTAGCCAGTCCTGTGCCAAAGCAGTCGCTCAGACTGCCGGCCAATGAGTGACAAGAGGGAGGGTCCTCTTTCTCCCATCACCCCCTCCTGCACTGAGAAAACTGGCGTACCCCCAATCAGGCGAAGGTATTTTGGGGAGATGGAAATTTAGGAACACGTCCGGAACCGAAGAAGCCTAAGGAGCACCAGTTGATTTGATTCAATATTCATGTGTTGGATCTTTTATGCGGATGCTGACTTAAAATCGATGCAACTATTTCATTTTGAACACTACGGAGAGCAATGCACTCGCTGCGATTGCATGGACAGCAGGTGGAGGCAGGTCGGCAAGGGAAAGAAAAAAAAACAAAACAAAACAAAAAAAAAACAAATACGTGTGGAACAAAACAATGGAAGGATTTAGAAATGACATCTCATAGTCCTTTTGTTTGCCCTGCTTCCTCAGGTGGCGCAGGAAACAGCGAGTGAATGTCTCGACACCATGGGGTCTGCACATACTCGATGCTCACCACCACCGCGGTGGGGGGGGGGCTGGGGCCGCCCTTACACTGACATGATGTGCTTGACAAAGGCTGCATGTGAAGATCAGGGCAGGACATAGGGAGGACACAAAAGAAGAATTCAAATCGGTCAGTGTCAAATACGAGCTTGGATTTGAAGCCATTAATTTGCTGAGCAATGGGCGACACCACAAGACTGTCGAATTCGATTTCTTTTTTTTGAAATCAGGTTTTCATAAGGATAATAATAATAGTAACAATATGAACTTGTCATATGTTGAGTCATATTTAGGAATTGGGTTTGGCAACGTGGAATTTTTATCTGAAACGCCATTGCGATAGATTACAACGCCTGCTAAAATCCTCATCGCGCAAGTTTTTGTTGGTCAAACTTAAAATCCAAAATGAAAATAAATCTCAAAACCCGGATTGACATTTTTTTTTTTTTAAATCAGCATCAAAAATAGGCTCAGGGACACATACAGTCATCTCTGATTAACATTTGCGGTTGACCAGTGTAATTCAAGAGCTACGAATATGACAAAATAACAACAATGATTAAACGATATTTCTCATTATTTTTGAGATACTAACATTACTTTAGTCATTTAATATCTACAAAAAAAATGTCTCATGAAAGTTGCTCAAAATGTAGAAATTCTGTTCATCTAAGATACAGATGTCAAACTCAAGGCCCGGGGGCTAGATCTGGCCCGCCACATCATTTTCAGTGGCCCACAAAAGTAAGCAATTTCTTGTAACCAAACCCCTCATTCCAGTAACTTAAACAATAGTTGAATAAACCGTTATTAGCCATAACGGCCCTCCAAGGGAAACGGTAACTAAAATGTGGCCCACGACAAAAATGAGTTTGACACCCCTGCATTAACCGCTAAAAGTGAATGACCCCATTTGGGAATTCAGCCAAGATTTTCTGGAAAAAAATTGAACTCTTACGTCGCACAAGATTTTCACGCCTGATATGCAGCAAGATGGCTGCGAGCATCAAAGGATCTCCACTCGTCGGCATGTTTTGCTTTCTGTTGGTTTGCATCGCCTACTCCATAAAGAATAAGCCGTCTCAATCGTTCACTACAGGTGGACTGTTCTAGTATTTGTACTGCTTTCTATGTTAAACATGCCACTTTTTGTTACATTGCCTTGACGGGAATAGATTTTCTTCCATCTTCAATATTTCCTATGATGAAATGAGCTGATTTTGATCTTGTGCAGATAGTAAACATTCAGAGGACGTCTGGCGGCATATAATGTGATCATCTTCCATACATTACTAGTTTATTCTGATTATTTTTTCCCCCATGTGTATATCCAGTTAAAGCCAGAATAGCTCTTACCCCTTGTGGAAATACGGATTAGCGGGCAAATAGGAACATGCTGGAGGAGGAAAAATAGGGCTCATCTTGTTCTGGGTGGTGTGGTCAAAACTCATTTCATGTGGGTCAAGAGGAAAATTGTGTGGGTGGTTGGTTGGGATCGGGGTGTTCAAGATTCAAGGAAAAGAAGAAAAAAAAATTGGCATCTACTTTGATGAAAAGGTTGAAGAAGAATCAACGTGAAACGTATATTTCTATTTGAGACGTGGATGTGAATGATTGACTCTCAGCCGAGACACAATTAAATAAAGCCGTTTATTTTCCCAGTTACAGGAATGCTGAAAATATGTTGTCATGTTTTTTTGACTCACCTGCAGCCCCCCCAGGTTTGAGCCGTTGTTTGGCTTTCAGTTTTATGTACGTATATTTATCTACGGTGAGAGGCCAAATGTCGAAGGTCACGAGTCAGAGGCCACGGACAGATGAGCCAGAGAGGAAGGAATAACGAAATAGGTCTCTATCTACCCCCAGGGGCCCGACGTGATGCTGGAATTGGACTGGCCACGCTGCCCTCTACCCATCCTGCCTCGTGTCGTCTTTCTTTCGCTTCAAACTCCAGCAGAAGGTGAGAGATGCAGCTCAGAAGAAGAGCAGTGTGAAGCAAAAGCAGACAAAAGCAAAGTCACATGAAAGGAGAATGTTAGAAAGGTTTTGAGCATGCCTAGCTTTTGACCAAAACCCAAAACGTTTTATTT